AAAAAAAAAAATGAATGCTGGCTAGGATCGAACCCTAGCCGTCGGCGTGCCAGCCAAGCACGTTACCAAGTAGACAACGCGCTTATTATAAAAATTTAATTTCATTAGTGGTATATCTTCAATATATTGAATAATTTTTTCCATTGAAATCCCACAAGATGTGGTTTCTCCCTTCCGCACGTTCTGCAGTCGGCTAAATTTCAGTTAAACAATTGAAAAACAAAAAGCATTCATACCGCAGAAAATAAAATTCACCCCAGCACTCCAACCCCTAGAACTGAGCCTCTACTTTAGTCAATTCTCTTTGGTATGAATTATGGATGTAATTATTTTTTGAGTTAAGTCATTGAATCGAGTTTAAGTAGTTCTTTAATGATGTAGGAGAATTTGTATATTGATGAGAATGGTTGAAATATATATTTATCTTACTAGTCGTGAGATTTCTTCACAACTTTACTATTCGTTTTTATTTATAGCCCTTTATTCAAATTTTGAAAAAATTATGTATAAGAAAAACATCGAGCGCCATCTGTAGAATAATTTCTGTATGGATTGTGCATCAGTTTGGTGGCAATGTACCGGCAGAAGATGAAGAGACGGCCGACTCTGTGGGTAACATTTTCCGTTGGTTATTTATCGACTTATTAGAGTGTAATATCACCTCCAGTCGACCACTCCTTTGATCATCCTCAATTTGCTTTTCTAATTGGATTTTTTTTTTTTGAAGCAAAACCCGTGAAATATGAATATTTAAAATGTTGATAAATGACCAAATTTTCTCTTTAAATTAACCGCAGTACAATCGCATTACAAAGAAATCCTCTGATTAAAAACTCTCATCCGCCCTCCACTTTCAATCTCCACAACAAATGTTAACTCATTTATATTAACTCGCGGTGGCATTGCACCCAATTTAATTAATTTTTTTTCTCAGCTGAGTCATGCTCAAATATTTTCCGAGATGAAGTTACCCAGTGGTACGACAGGATAATTGGTAGACGATGTATTCCTGATGGACCATGGAAACGGAATGAATCTCTCATTGTGATATGACGAACAGATATTCTTGACAGTAGAGCAGTGAAGAGCAGGCTCCATTCGAAGGGAAAAAGAAAGGAAAGGAAAAAAGGGGAGCTCCAATGTCAAGTGTATATCTGAAAAAGAAGGTAAAGTGTAAGATGAAGTAGTATAGTGGTAATCTCATTGTGACTGGGGGCAGGGGAAAAAGCTCGAGAGGCAGAGCCGGAGGGAATGGCGATTTTTCACGGAGGAGAAATTGCAGTTTCTCTTATCTCTGCCTCTAGTCGCATTTCTCTTTTCACGATTACACCAGTGTCCTTTAAAAATGCGAGGGTGGAGAGAGCCACGCTGTGGCTTGTTAAAATTTGATTGCGAATACTTTTTTTCATCATCGTGAATACATTTTTTTTCTCCCTTTGCGTATCTCAATCGTTGAAAGAAAAAAGTATGAATAATTGGGAGGATTATAATGATTTCTCGTGATTTTTCAAATTCATAGTTTCCTTTTATTTTTTCTTTTAAGTGTTTTTCTTACACTGAATATCTTCATTTCATATTCTCTGAGGGAAACATGTTTCTTTACAAAACAATTTTTTTTTATCCATCGAGACAATAAGTAATTTATGCGTTGATTGTTTGTCTTTAATATCGTATCGAGATGCTCTCAATTTTACGATGAATTTTTCTTATGGTAGTTCTTAATTCAACGACGCATTTACAACCACTCGAGTTCTGTTCTCTTTGCATTTATATTATTGTAACATTTTTTTTTACGGTTTTTATCGATAGACTTTACTAGCTCCACTTCTTTGGTTTGTGGATTATCTCTTTTTTGACTGGCCGTATATAATATAAATTATTATTGTAATAATTTTTTTTTATATGAATACGTAACTGTACACGTGAGACAATTTATACACAATTACATATGGAATTATCTTCCCATAAAATGTTGGCCCGCGAAAAATTGCAATAAAATCTGTAATATTCACAGTCTTTAAAAAGAAACAAAAAGCAAATTGAAATTTAAAAGGCGATTTTATAACACAAAAAGGAAATGGAAAATGTCGTTGGTATCGGCAGTAAATCAAAAGAATCTATTGCAACTGTGGAATTCCTACAATTGAGGTGCACAGATGGATGAATAGATAAAAAAAAACATTCTTCTATTTTTCCTCCTGTTGTCACTGAATGAGAGTAGCCCCTCGTGAATTCGAACCCATTCGAATACACCTTCGAAGCAACGAGATACGTACAGTTTTACCACACATACCAATCGTCACTCCATACTGATAAAAGCGCAGTGCGAGTGCAAAAAACGAAGTTAAAAAAAATATTTTTTTCTATATAAAAAAAAGGCAAACAAAGAACTTTGAAAAAAAAAAATATATATAAATTAATAGCGGTACAAAATGATAGACGATAAATTTTATTCACAGAAAGGTAAAAATCCGATCGGTAGAAATTATTCGCTCGTATCAAGACAATTGACCAACTGTCCCGGAACCATAAAAACGAAAGCAAAAAATTGTTTTATACATTCTTTCCGTTGAAAAAAAATTGGGATGACACGGGAGGAAAGAATGGTGGAGAGGCACTGAACAATTTATCGTCAATATTTCGCACTCGCACGCTACCTCTTTTTCTCTGAATTTAACTTTTGTCTTTGTGCATGTAAAACTGTATCGATTCCTGTCGCTGTTTCATCGTGTGACACACAGTTGTACTTTTAACATTGATGATTTTTATCACGAACCACCCATTATCGGATATGCATATATGCTGATGTATATTCTTATATGCATAAACATCAAGTAAATCTTACACGGAGAATCATTTTGCCATTAATTTTTCGTTTCGTATTATCGTTCATGAAATCTATCTATTTTCGGGGCGATTAATAAACTCGTGATGTTGTACAGGAAAAAATAAATGAACAAATATATGGTAGATAAGCCATCGACTCTGTACGTGACAATACTTAATAAATAAACTAATGATAAATAAATATTATCGTGTGGCAGTTTCTCTCTCACACACAAATATAAAAAACATACTTTTCTAGCACACTTACAAACAGTTTCTGTCTGTTGACTGTACAGTAATAATTCATCCTAGTAACAAATAATAACACAATAGGCGCAATTAGTATAGAAAAATTATCCACTATAAACGTATTTACGGTGAGGAAATTTCGTGACGCTTTTTTTTTTTTTTTTTCATAACGATAATACAAAGTATTAAACATCACTCAAGGTATGACTCACACATTCTTCTTTGACATTTCGCAGCGATGAATAAAAATACTGTTATCAATAAATACATCTTTTATTTGTTTTTAGCTGCTTGCAAATAAGCAGATTGATCGCTCGAGAAATTTGTTTGAATATGTGAAAAAAAAGTGTATTTCACTGGATCAGAGGAACCGGATAATTCACAAATAAACCAACTCAGCAATAATTGATATAGCTCCCTCTAATTCTCTGATTGTGAAAATTTGGTTTTCGTTGTTACCTAGGGGAGATCTCTAACTAGGATCCTTCAAGCGTTGTCCCAGCACTTCACCTCTTGTTTCGTTTAAGCGCGGTAGAGATTTAATTATTCACGCGTAATTACTCGGGAGCGCTCACACAGTCAGAACTTATTCACCGCTGTTCTCTTCCGCTTTCTACCAATCCCCTTCCCCCATCTCATACGGAATTTATACCAAAAGCCTCTTTTAGTTTATTTTTGCTCCTCATCTCATCACACAAAACCACAAGCTCCTCATTTTCATCGAAAACTTTCAAGTAGATTACGTAGGCGATACTTGAAGTTTCGTTAAGGATATCTTCTCCCTTTCGACCTCCCACTCACCCTTCATCGTCGGTACTAATTGACTAGCATCGTTCATCACTCTCATTTATTCACTTCCGTTTTACCTAGCAAGTTTAGCCGCTAAAACCTCACTCCCACATCTTTCCAAGTTCAGTCTAACCACCTTAGCTATGCTCCTTTAACCTATCTCCACCCTTTTTTTTTAGTTTTTATATTCGTTTTGTCAGCGGTACCGGGTTCCTTCCCAATTTGGGCGCCACTCATTGGCGTGCACATCCATTGGTTTCTATCAGGAGAGAAACCATGCGGTTCTACCACAAACTGCTTCACCTCCTCGAACTCGAGTTACGCACCAATGAGTACATACCCATTATTATCCATTTCCCACTTCAATTAATTTGCCAATGTCATTCTTTTATCACTCTTGGTAATGATTTTCAAGCATTTGCCACGATTTCACACTTTTTATTCTAGTTATAACCACTGGGTTTGGGAGTTTAAGATTAATTGTAAATTATATTATATTATAACTCTTCTTGTGACTGGGTTTTCTCCTGTATTTTTATCGGTTTCTTCGGAATGTTTGTCTCTAATGTAAATCGACTATGCAACAGATAAATTCAGTACTCGGGGACGTAACCGTGTTGTGACTCTTTTAAATAAATAACTTAAATCAAGAAGACGTAATAACTTAACGATGGACATAAATTACAGAACACAATAATACAAAAATGAGAATGGAATCCATGGGAATACGTGCGGTGAGCAAAAGTTTCAATTGAATGCCTCAATATTTTGTTTATCTTTTCTCTTTGTGTGCCTTTGCAGGCTGGAAAAAATTGGAAAAAGTTTAATGGAAATACGAAGCCGAAGGAAAGTCTACATCACGAGTGAGGGTAATGTGTTTTTTGTTTCTAAGTCGTTGGATGTTTGTTTACCGGAATACTCGGTGCACCAAAAAAAAAAAAAAAATCAAATTGTAATAGAGGGAATCATATTTCCCGAAGGACAATAATATATATGTGTATTACCATTGTGCACAATTGGTGTCCGTTAATAATTCCGTTACATGGGTTCCCAGTGATCTCAACTCTTGCAGAAGGCAAAGGAGGACGAGAAAAGGAAAATATCTTGGCCACGCGACGACGATTCGCAGGGGAAGTTACGCAACGATAAAAGTACACAAATAGACGCTCCCCCAAATCGCATACATTCGAGTTTAATTTTTCTCTTTGTCAATGATATTCTTTCACACATATCTGAATCATTCACCCCACTGACACTGACAAAAAAAAAATCTTCTCCATCTTTGTAATTATAGTATTCTTATTTACATACTGTGCATTATTGTATTTTTAGAAATGAATTGCATGAAATATGAATTTATCCCCTCGTGTACGAGAACACCCGATTATCATCCATACATCCCTTCCCCCCGGGGGCACAAAAAAAAATGAAAACAAAATGAGACTTATTTTTCTCCTGCCAACGTTCATTGGAATTGACTGTTAAACAAAGATTTGCGCACGTGTATCATTAATTAAATTAGTTTCGCGAGAAAATTCAGTCTTTTAGTATCGAGGATCGTGTAGACGTCTCCGAATAAATAAAAAAAAAATGCACACACACCAATGCATCCTTTTACAAATGACCTCCATTATTTTTCATATACAAAAGAAATTAATGCTCTTGGGGAATTGGGTAAAAAAATTAGAACGAGTTGGCGATGAATTGAGTGAATTTTCTGTGAGCAGAAATGGAAAAGAAATTGAATTCGTATTTTCGATTTACACGTTTATTCCAATTTGTCGGGCTGCGGAGCGACACGTGTTTTCCATTCGTTCTTGCAGCTATTCCCAGAGATTTATTCACTTGCCACTGTCTCCTCGGACTCTCCCGTCCCCCTCACAGTCGAAGGAGGTCCTCTTCTTCGTCTTTATTTTACTTACTTTTTTTCATTTTCTGGGTACATTGTGTGTCACGTGTAAACGAGTGACACTTGGTAGTGTTGCCGGACCAGCCCGCGCAGACTCTTCCAAGCGAGCAATTCTCGTTTCTCCATGAGAACACTCGGCGGCTCTCACATACTTTTTCGTACATCGTGTTGCTCATCTTGCCGCCCCTCAATTCACCACCATCACCACCAACACTGGGTTCTCGTCCTTGGATGTCTCTTTGGTACTTGTTCTCTAATATTTTTGCCTTGTCTTAGCCACCCCACATCATCACCACTCTCACCCATCACTCATGGAATTATAATTATTTGGCTTTAATTCTCCACAACACCGTGTCCAGTGAACACCGCTGGAGAATACCAATTATTTGACACTTTTTATGAAGCTTCGCGTTACGTATGCCTAGGTATTCCATACGCGAAGCTAACCTCACGTCATGGATAATCTGGATGCATGAGATTGTACATAACTGCAAATATTGTGCAGGCAGCATAAACACCAAGTGCAACCCACCAGAGTAGTTGCTCGTGCAGGCGTTGTTCAAAATTTTTCAGCACGAGAAGGCCAATTGTCAGACCGGCCAGTGCACCCGTCAGGTGTGCCACGTAGGAGACAGGTGGGCCCATCTGTTCGGCTGCATACCTGTCGTAGATTGCAAAACCAACGTCAGCGCTCGCTGCAACACCAAAATTTAAGGCCAACGTTATTTTCATTATTCACCAATTATTGTCCAAGGGGATTGACTCATTATTAGATTCTTTTTTTTCATCTACCTCTACTGCTGCACATTCTCCGATATATACGCGATAATACGAACCCCTCGCGAATTAAGGGTGGCGGTGAGTCTCTGCGATCCCCGGGAGGTTCTGCGGGATGAGCCAAATGCCAGGGGGAAGAAAATAGGAGATAAGTGAGAGAGGAAAGCTCTACCTCTACATGTATAACTCTCTCCGTTATATGCGCTATAGAATTAAACCGTGCTCTCATCTTCACACTCTTGCAATAACACTCCAAGACTAATGCCACTTAATTACACCAGACCGATATGATAAGCCTCTGTACCTCCCCCCGCGAATTCGTATCGTGAGAACTCAATGTGAGACCCCTCCACCCTTTTTTAATTCTCCATTTTTTGTCTTCCACTTCTACCAATGCCATTTATTTTCCTCATCCTGTTTAATAATCCCTTTGAATTTTCTTCGATGCCAACGTCTATAAATTTTCCCGACCTCTGATGACGTGTTCCTCGTTACCTCGTAAAGCGAAGGTACCAGGAAAGACTTAAAGTGTCACCTCGTGGATTCAGAATGAATGAGGCCGAATGTACACAAGTTGATAGTGTAAAAAAAAAGAATTTTCTAGTATGTATGGAGTGGTGAGTTGGGCCAACTGATAGAAAATGAAAAGATGCTGGGATTGGGTGAGAAGAGACGAGGTGAGAATTCTCTAAAAACCTCTGTAAAGGGGGAGAAAACTCTCCCCTTTTCACTCGTTTGTCGTTTGCTCCCATCCAACCGAAGATCCTATCTTTTTCCATTACAAGCCGGACATCGCGCTCGGTGACGCGTTCTGCGAGCGATTTATACTCCAGGACCGCCGTATATCCGGTCCGAACGATCTCCGAATATCTCTCGCTCTCTCTCTCTCATTCTCGTCGTTGCATTCTTTCCTCTTTTTTTTTTCATCGTCTTTTTAGTGTCTGTTGGGGTGTTCGTTTCTATCATCACAAAAATCTAAAACGACCGAGTGTTGTCGACACGGCAAACTGCACCGTCGATTTCAACAGGCGCCAGTCACCCCCCTTCTCACTCTCACTAATACTTTCAACTCCTCGCCAGAGAGAGTGACTTACAGAGTAAATTGTTATTGCTCTCCTCAGCTTTTAATTTAAAAAAATCCATGAATCAATGTTATTGGTACTCTATTTGAGGCAAAAAGGGACGGAACTGGATATGAATGGAGAATTCCGTGAATGTGGTAAAATGAGATTTGCTGGTGTATTATTGTCAGGAATGAAAAATATTCCATTACAATTGACAGAAATTTTTCGAGGATTTTTTTATTTGGCGGCATTTGGCATTGCAATTGCATCAAAGAGAAATTACATTTCAATGATAGGCAGAGGTGAAAAAACGAAAAATATCGGTTTTTTTTTGTTTCACTGGAGAATATTTCCCGTTGAAAATCTATTTGATTACTTATTGAAAGGGTTTGAGGGGATTGAAATTTGATGCAACTTATTTGTGTTACTTGAATACTAAAAATGCTGTGTATCCTGTGAGAGAAGTTTTGAGGATTCGGAAGTTCAGTTACACACCCCCGAATCAAGGCAAACTTTTAACCCTCTAGCCTTCAAAAATTTTCCACGCTACGGGGAATGGGAGAAGGCAATTACGAACTAGCATGGATTACCTACCGATAATGAAGATGCCAATGAGCCGAACAATTCCAAACTCCATGTTGTTGTAGTTTAGCAGTACATTAGCAAGGTGGGCAGCTAGGAGTGCGTAAACTCCTCCACTAGCTCCGACTAGGTAAACATCTGTATCAAAGACCGAAGTACCGAGTGATCCTGAAACAAACATAGACAGCATTTCATTAATTTCACTACATTCAAGTGAGGGCCAAATATGACAGAAGAAAAATACATTAATCTTATTATATTATATTTGAAATGAGTATGAGCACGATCTGCCTCTTTCAATTAGTCTTTCTCGCTCGAAAATTTCCTCCCTTTTCTACCATCATCGTATACCCATCAAAACCATTTTAAATAGAAATATTTAACTGTTGAATTTCATTTGCACCAGACAGAGAAAACCAACTCAACACTACTCCCAGAACATGCAGTTATTCCAATAATTATGATAATCAAATTACTGACGCCCTCACCGAGCAATAACAGAAGTACGAAGGAAAAAAAATGATATATTCCGAGCATAAAGATACTTCGATAAATTGGGAATTGCTAACCGGAAATTCACCCCAGGAAACATAAAAGAGGTTTCGGTTATTTCAAAAGGCTCTTGTTCCTCTGGCCTCGTTCATTACTACCTCTTCTCTGTTATTGGTATGCGTGGTGGGAATAAACAATGAGGAAAGGATCTTCGCATCACCGCCCGAACGAGAGTACCTATATACATGTATACAATTATAAAAAAAAAAAAAAGTGAGAGAGATGGGGGGCGAATAAAAAGGTAAGGCAGCCATTTCGAGGCATATTGTTATCTCTGTAAAACAGGAATAAAGGGCACATTCTGAGAATGGCAGTGGATGTAGACGCGTGTCTGGCAAATAGAGGGCCCAGAGCAAATAGTGTCAAGTACAATTTAACGGAAGTCATTCGAGGAAAGAGGATGGAAATTGGAAGCCTGGGTTGTACTGGGAGGAGGTGAATTGACCCCAATCGATCCCAATATCGATTGAATTACGAGGGAAGGGAGAAGGGAGACAAGGAGATGGAGAGAAGAGAGCTGATGGAGGTCCGTGACTATCGTGCAATCGGAATATTGTGTGACTCAAACTTGTCTGTCCCCTGTACATCTGCTCCCCCCTGGCTTTTCCGTCCCTTCTGGGCTAAGCAATGATCGTGAATCGTCGCCCATGGTCTCCATTATTGCGTGACCCAGGTTGCCAACTCTGGTATCCAGATATCTAATGGTATTCATGACACTTGGACAGGCATCTCATTCAGTCGTGTATACAATTTTACGGCGAAAATTGATGAGTTCGTACGGGTGAGTTAATGGGAAATATCGAATTTGATTGAACACGTAATGAATTCCGTGCCCTTATTGCTGTTATCCTGAATGATTACACCACTGTTAACTCAGACCGATAACATGGGCCTTCATTCAATACAATAAAAGCCAAATTTATCTGTTAAAAAAAAAAAAGATAAACTTCTCGTTGAAATATCGGTAATTACTCATTATAAAAAATGAGTATTCACTGAATTTTTAAATATCAACTTCTGAATTTCAATGTATCGACCGATTTACCACATTTGACATATTTTTCATCTGTTTTTTTTTCCCCCTTCCCCATTCATAACCGCAAAAACCATAAAAACAATTTGAAAAAAAAAAAAAGTAGTTTGCTGAAAGCCATTGAGTACTGAACGGGTTATTTAGTGGTGGTGAAAAGGTCGAGATTTGATGGAGTATGAGAAAATCGATTCACCAAACAAATATCAGCAACTCGAGTGAATTTTCCACGTGTTTGTGATAGGTGAGAGGTATAATGTGTATAGTTATAAACTCGTGTTACAACAACTCGTGCATGTATGGTACGTGCAATCGGCGTGTACTCCTCTCCCTCTGGTGTTCCCACGCAAGGACAAGCTCGGCACTGGCATTCCATCCTGGCACTCCTAGGTATTAGATAATTACAGTTCAACGTTTGCTTGGGTTTTGTGTCCCCGCCTTACCCCCCTTTTCCAACCCACCTTTTATCCACCCGCGTCCACCGTAACATTGTCGCATGTACAGCACTTATTTGGTCCAAATGAAACACGAGTAAATCACGTAGTCACATTATTGTCGAGATTGTCACTGGTAGAGGGTAGGTGAGATTCACCTCTTGTTTCTCAACAACGGGGATATGGCACCGGTATAGGGTACGTGTGTCAAGCAGAAAGCCACTGACCGGTGCTCTGTCTACCGACGCGTAAACTCCCAAACGTCCAACGCCAACGTTAATTAGTACTCCTAATTGGCGTTCGCTTCAATTGTATATACGAAACACCTTTTCCAGTCGCATATTCATCAACAATCTGTAATTTTACGTCATGAGTTTGTAGTATGGATCCTTGAGAGATTGAGGATAATAACCCTAACACCTGCTATTCACATATCATTCTTTATTTGCCATCTTTTATTTTATTTTATTTTTTCTTTCATGTAGGATCTATCTGTGTGTAGAGCTCACACTGCATTGTTTCTCTTTGTGGGGGACGATGACATTGACATAATGTGTCATCCCTGAATCGCTCATCACTCATTTACTCATTCTACTTTGACGTTATTCAGACCTCACGCGTTTGGAGGGTTCGGTGTATTATTATTTTTACTCTTTTTCTCCGGAGGTTTTCACAACTTCAATAAATCTGAAGTGAATATCCATTGTGCCAATAATTGTGTAAGCAATGATAACATAACTGGAATGTCATTATAGATCTTCCGGATGTTTGTAATTTTCATCATTCAATTCGTTGGATTTACTTTTCAAAGCGTAAAATTTCTTCTCTTTACTCTGTTACGATGTTATGCGAAATGTACTTACGATGAATAAAGAAGAGTGAAAAAAAAAGAGGAAATGGCAAAGTGAATCGCAAATCCAGACGTTTGAAATGCGAAAGTCCAGACGAATTCCATTGGTCTGAATAAAGACAAGGCGTGGTGGCCTGTTCTCTCTCTCTTTCATTGAACTGGTGAGTGAATCCTTTCCATTCTACGGAATTTTCGCGTTTGAAATTTCTCAGTTATAAACGAATTTCCTTCGCGCCCGACTGCCACTCTCGAGCACCCCGAAAAAGCCCGGAATATAAGGGAGAGATGAAAGTACTGGCGTTATGAGGAGATTTTTGAGAGTTTTAGAGAGGAATGAGGAAGGCTTTAAACGCTAGAGGAAACAAGTGGAACTGGAGTGGCCAAAAAAGTGTCCTCAGGAGGCCCTTGTGACCGGCACGCGCTCACTTTTCAACTATGACTTTATTTGCATTTTTTTCCCCACAGTCTCACAATTTTCCCTGTTTTAAAGTCGCTCATGCGGCCACTCTGAACCACCAATACTGACAAACGTGAATTTATAAATAGTTATAATAAATCAAATGTCACCCCGAAACAGCAAGCATTTGCTCCGACTATTTGCATTACCTTACTATTTCTAAAGGAGAGTAAATCTCCAATTAAAAAATATCCTCTGCTTGGACATTGAAGAGTCACTCTCATTACGGCAATTTTTAATTACAATTTCCCCTTTGCCTCATTGTTTACATTATCAAATCTCTCTCTTCAATCAAATGAATGACTTCCGTTTTTTTGCGTGCGTCAGTGGAGAAGAGAGGTAAATAAAAATGAATAAAATTATTGAAAATAAAAAAAAAAGGAAAAAAAAAATTAATGGTGGAGAAATAAAAATGATTGGGGAGAGGTGGAAAAAGCGGCGTTGACCGAGAGAGGCGGCGTAGGAAACGAGTGCAACATCGTGACTCGGCTCAAGTCGCACGGTGATAACGTGCATACACTATAATGGGCAGGTATGCACGCGGTGCACGCGACGGTATAGAATCAAGAGTATACAGTTAGACACAGATGAGAGCATCCAGGAAAGTCATACAAAACTTCATATATCAGAGAGAGAAGTCCAAAGTGAGATATACTCAATGCGAGGTGTACACCTTTGCAAAGGGTGTAACGACATATCGTTCGTATGTCGTCGCGTATAAGCAATCCTTCGTCGCTTTTCTTCACCATTTTATTTTCCTTATTTCTTAACTTTTTTACCTCGCCATTTTTGTCTCTAAAGTGCAACACCTAGTGCTACTCCTACATAAGTCGTAAAAAAATGGTAGTAAAAAATCATTTTTATTATTTTTATAAGTTAAACAGAATAAAAATACGGGATACTTCTCAGTGTTAGGTCGAATCCTTCGATTCTAACAGTGGATTTTGACGAGTGAAGTCGCATTTTTTGCCTTTTTGCCTTTTTCCCTTTTTATTTGTATTTTTCATTTTTTTTTTTTTTTTGGAACGAGTATCGAGACTTGCAGAGTTTTTTTTTACCGTTGTCTTGTGCACATTTGCAATGACTGGTGAAATCTATTGACGTGAAATTTTTTTCTCTCTGGGGATTGGAATTCGCATGCATTGAGATACAAGTGGAGGATCGTGTAGGATGACCAGTAATATCGAGCGTATGGTAATATAAATTTCTTTCTGTGCAAAATGCATTAATATAGAATACGCATGGGTTTCTGGAAAAGTAATAATACCGATGTATCAGCTTCACGTCCTAATCATCTCTTTTACTCCCACCTCGGCAACATTGAAAAACATACGCGGTATACAGTAGCGCAAACGCTGGCGCGTGACTTTGATAACAGACTATTTTACGAGAACAATGGAAATTGTACATACGGGGCTTTCCCCCTATCAATCCCGAGATCTTAGAAAGTGAGTCGCACAAAAATAGAACAAACGGAAGTGATCGTAGCCCGGCTACACATTCATATAACAAATCCATACATGTGGTCACAGTGCGTTGCACTCATCGAACCGTGATTCTCATCGCCATTGTTACCGTGACGACATGAGGAAACGGATCGCAAAAGTGCCCTCATTCTCTCCTCTTTCATTCCATTCTCAATATTTTTTTTGTTCCCCCACCCGGAAATGAAAAGAATTCCTGAATGAATCGTTCATCCGTACACACGCGATGGTTCCGGAGAGACTATTGTTTTATCTCTCTCTTTGGTCAAAAACGGTAGGACTACGGAGTGGGTTTGGGGTAAAAGGGGCTAAAGAAAGTAGTATATATGTTTAAAGTTGACTGGGTTCCTTCGCCTGGCTACGTTGGAACCTTCCCAACGACGACAAGTGAAGTAGAGGAGATCTGCTCACGGTCGAGCGAATACAGTCGTGTCACTCCCAGTAGAGACACCCAGTGAGATAACGTGGCTCGATGCTACCTTCTCATTCAATTCCTCCCCCGACCCCATAAATTTCGTAGTAATAAAAATACGTTTTTTAAATTAGACGAGCTTTCTATTCCGAGTTTTCCATGAATCAAGAGCCCGTCAATCGCCTGTCGATCCACCTGAAATTCCCCATTGAGAAGATGAATTTCTCCTCCGAGTGGCAAATTTTCCGCGAGATGAAAGAAATAAAGAATTGAAATACCAAGAACTAGTGATGAATTGTCAAGAAATCTAGTACCTTCCTCCCTTCCCCCCAAAATTTCAAACAATTCAAGAGCGGACTCTAACCCCAGTCGTATAAGGGCAACCACCCGAATCCCGGTGGCACGCTGCAATGCATACGAATTAATCCCGCACCACCGACATCTCATGTTAACACGAGTCCCGAGTGAAATGAGACTACGAGCCGATGGTGGTGTGTCTCTTTGGCGCCCTTAAGGTTTACACAGACTTGGAAGAGACGAGAGACGAGGCGTAGAGAAAGCAGCCCAGCCGTACTGTCTGCCTCAAACTGGAGGCATTACGAGAGAAGGAGGACCACGGATCCACCCACTTTCATACTACAAAATACATTCTGCATAGATATCCCAGGAAGTGGCTCCTCGGATACACAAGTACATACATACACCTACATGCTCAACCTTGCGAATATAATCTTTCAACCGCTCTCGACGCGACCTTGCGCACACACAACTCCCCATCGTTTATTATTCATGCTAGTTCACCCCCTCACATCCCCTTACCGTCTCACCTCTCTGTATTCACCACACTCATAGCCCCCATCCACCCATCCACCCTCTGTTACCCTCGTATTTGCAACGTTTTACTTTCATGAACGTTAATACGCGAGGATTTGGCTCCAATCGGATTTATGCAAATAGCTATTGAATGTACAAGCGTACACTATCCCGCCCACTTGTGTCTCACTAACGGTGTGCATTAGTGGACAGTTAAATCAGGCGTTAATAATTCAACAAACGTGATATATAGGCGCAGCAGTAACGAAATACAACTCTAACTCCCTTCCCTCTTCTCATCGTCCCTGTTGAATTTCATCGAGGCAAATTTCAGTCATTTGGGAAACACTGATTGCTCCGAATAATGAGAAAAATTTCACACAGGATACAATTAGAATGCCGTTTAATGATGCAGTAATTCTGTCAAATGTTTTATACTGTACTATGTCGACTCAATTCTCGGAGTATGACGAAGCATTCATTAGAAATAATAATGTTTGGTCAATGAAGTCGAAAATAATTCGCATCAGTAATTATCCTTTGTAGCTCCATGGATATTGATGGAATGATAATGATGCTCATGACATGAATGGCAATTAATAATTTAATATGCAAACCTGCTAGAACACCAGCCATGTACACCGCCCCGATTCTGAAACTCCCATGAACCATCTCCAGGGGTAGTCCCACGACCACCTGTACCCCCAGGTTGAACAGCAGGTGGAGCCATCTGAAAGCAGGGAAAAATAAAAGTTCTTTGTAAATATCTAATAATTTGTGGATTTAAACAATCAACACATCATTCATTATTCTATATCACATCCTAGAATTTTCCCCGAACATGAATTTTTAAATGAAAATTCAAAAGCGCAGAAAAATTATACAATGATATTCAATTTATTTTCCCCTCCCTACGCGCATCACAATTTTTTCAGTAAACCCAAGTAATTCCCGTCACGAATAAAATTTTGAATTATATTCGTCCTGAGTTTGTCATACTCGGGTCAATTATCCACCCAAGTTGTTCGTCAGAGCTTCCTCGAATCGCTGAGATGTTGCCCAAACTTTTCTTATCGTTTCAACGCTCAGGTGGCCTTCAGAATCGTTATAAGAACTTCCTCCCTTTTTTTTTTCCAACTTATAAATTCTTTTTCACAGGAATATGTAGAATTTTAAGATGTAAATTCAAAAGGAAAACTTTCATGGGACATTTGGAACTTGTAATATGTAGATGAACATTGTTGACAAACATACGTGTTTAATTGTTCAGGGTTTAATGATAAAACTTGAGGGGATAGAAGTCGATGCAAGTAACGACGCAATCATCCAAATGGAGTGCGTTACTAAAAGCTCTAGGGGTAGTTCGTAGATGAGGGGAGAAATTTCAATTCCATTTACTCAGGCATATACATATATATGCAGTATCTTATTTGACTTCTCTCTAGCCACTGAGGAAATTCTGGTGAGTAACAGTGTTATGTTTAAGCGGTTCCTTCCACCACAGAAACGCTTATGAGATGTTGACGATTTATCCGTGGTAATTTTTACACAAATGATGGTGAATATCGAGTAAAGTTCAATAACGAAACGGAAGATTCTAAGGAGAGGGAGATAGCTAAAGAGCTTTCGTACCAACAACACGATAAGCTTTCAGTCTTTCTCCATTAAACCTTGAGTGGAGAATTTATTGGAATAAGTGAAGATTTCTCCTCGAGATTGCCCAACAACTGTATTTTAATGTATTCCTTCCTCAAATCTTCAACTCAATTAAAAGCCAACTAAAATAAACTCACTACTAATTACATTCGTATTCAATCACCCTCGATGTATAATGCATAAAATAATTGTTCAAGGTGATGTAAAAAAAATAAGGTAGGAAAAATTTATGGGGTACAAGGTGAGACACTGTTGATGGAGATTCGTGTACTTATCGTGCTGGGACGTACACGCACGTCACCAACAACGATAGGAGAGAGAGAGAGAGAGGGAGAAAAAAAGGGTCGAGGGGGTGTATAGGGGTATAAAGATGGAAATGTTGAGGAGACCGCCGGATGGAGTCTCTTCCCCCTTATCTCTTCTGTACCACCATGAATAATTTAAAAAGCGTCGTGCGCAACGTAGAGCCTTCTTCATCCACCGTCTTCTCCTTTCCGCTCGTGCAAGTTCCTCTTCCAACGACTTTGGTGTCGTTCCTTCTATACTTCCAGACATCGGGGATTTTTTTCCCCCCTCTGTATAACACTGAGGTTTTCACATACACTGACTATGAGAGTGTCCTAGAAAGAGCTCTCGTGTTATGCAACCAATGGTGGTGGATGGAGTTAGGATGCACGGTGGACTTATAATTTGATCGTCAAAAGTTTTTTAACGGTGGAGGAGAAAAAAATTAATCTTTTTTTTAAGAGCCAACTTACCCAGCGTGAAGGAACATGTAGAATGCGAATCTCCAGAGCTCAAGACGCTTGTCAGGACGATAAATGAATACACTGTCAATTGGTACCGGACCGGATGGGTTAACTTCACCCATCGACACTGTGTAGTACGTGAAAAAACCGAGCTGCAATCAGAAATAATAAATACTTGCGTCAATACACATGTTTGTTTGAGTTAAGTCAACTTGATTGTCTCATTAAATTGATTTGCTGTGTTTCCGCGATATACGATGGGTATGCGATAGAGCCGGCAGTTAAGCTTCATGGGAATAGTATTGAACACATGAGGAAACATTCTAACCATATATTCTGATATTACCCACATGATCGTAAAATCGTAACTGCAGTATATTTTTAAATTCCGGTTAAACAGTACCGCCTGCACACACATACCCCAGTGACATCCTCATCTCAAAGGAATGACAGCCTATTAGGTTTAACCCCCTTACGGTCGAGGAAATATTTTTCTAAGAGTGACGGTACGAACGAATTAATCCCAAGAACTGACTCTCTAATGAGATTCCTGTAGCCAGCGTGAATGGAATGAGGTAGGAAAATAAATCATGAAGATGGCTGGGGTAAGACCATTGGTGGAGAAGATTTGCAAGAGGGAAAGGGAGGCTTTTACGCCGTAATTCGAAAATTTTTCAGCTCTTGGACGGTAATTTAGTTTGGTGTACGATGAGGGTAGAATGGAGAGAGGAAACTAAAGCCAATGGAAAACCGGGCAATACGAGTAGATGCTTATATATGCAATACCTCCTGCTAATTAAACGACAAGACCCTTGGCAGTCTACATGGTATATATACAAACCAGAGATATTTTGTATAGTAACTATGTCAGGGGTATATAATTCCCTGTGTTGAATCTCTTTGATGGCCCCACTAGTTCGTGTTTGTATGCCCAGTGTCGATCCTCTTGACCGGCTCTTCATTTCCCTCAACAATTCCACGTCAATAAACGAGAATCATTGAAAAGAGCACTCGTCTGCTCTTCTATCAATTCGTTTCTCAGCCCCTCAACTCATCACGTTCACGTGTTCCATTACCATGGGGAGTTGAACTTGTCCGATTAAAAGTTTTTCATCGAATCAGCCACTTCAGATTTTCCTCACCTTCCACTTCCTACCAAAACCAACTATCTCCCCCCCCCCCCCCCAGCCTTTCCTTCAACTCCTACCAGCTTTGTTCTCATTCTGTGATTCTACTCTTGTGAAAACCATCTACACGAAATGCAACAAGCGCCTTTTGTCCGGCGACTGAGCCACCAAGCCACATGAACGTGCAAAACTTTCCACTCTGAGTAAATTTCTACCTCACTCCAGTTTTCCTCTGTCAGTCATTCTCCTCTCTGTCTCTCCTATCCTGACAAACTCTCCTCTTACTCAACAAAATGACTGCCAATTCTATTTGTTGTCCACTGGGAGAATGGACGAGTACTCCTCCGTGTCGCAGGTTATCTGTATCATCCCTGTAGCATCCTCATCCGTCCCCTCTCAGCGACCTGTTATTTATTTTTATTTTTTCGTTTATCCCCAGAAAAGGAAATTCTACACTTGGCAAAAGTCATCGATCGATCGTCCACTCGGACCAATAGAATGACATAATGACGGTGATGGGTGAAAATGCATGATTAACAGTGCAGTTTGTTGGCCGGGGTTTGTGGCCAAGTAGTTTGTGTCGAGATACAGTCAGACCATTGGCACGTAATTCGATGCTATTGGATTCTGAAATTGTGGATGAAACATTTCTCAGCTATTTGCCTACCTGTTTGTTATTATATTTTCCCAAGAGGCTCAACTATCTATATTTCACTTGGTAAAGTTAGACGTATATATATATATGGAAGGTACCTCGAGGACATACAAAGTTGCAGTGGCTCATGTCACTGCGGCAAATTCAGCCTCAAAATTTTCAGGTTGCGGATGTAATGTTAACAGGTCACTCACTGGTGTTACCTGGACTAATCGAATTCTCCCCTCTGACGATTAACGATTTCTAGTTAGCCTGCCCAAAATGAACCACCACTTGCCACCCCCATGGCCATCACCCTATCCTATCTGCGGGGTTACAACAACTGGGCCAAACGGCAAGTTGTGGTTAAGCCACAACCATAACCCTGTATACCACAACCACCAGCTCCCCAACAGCGTTTTTGCCCGCGAGTTTTGCAAAGGGAGAGAGAGAGAGAGAGAGAGAAAGGGGCGCAGGCACTGTACAAAGAGTATTTTGCGTTAAAATATTTTGTGTGTGAGTGTGTGTGGATGTGTGTAAGAGAGAGAGAGAGAGAGAGAGAGAGAGGCGCACATGTATCAGACGCTTTAACGCGAACCCCTTGTAAATTTGTATGCGGGTAAGTTTATATGGTCCCCATGCTGCACGTTAACTCTTGCACTGCCAGTCCAATGAACGTGCCAAGGGAGCATACTGTGAGAGAAGTTGGAAATTTTTCCATCGTACATGGGGGAAAAAAAAACCACAAGTATGCTAATTTTATGATCGGCATGTATCGATCAGTGAGGTATTTTTTGTGCTTTGAGTTTTTATAAAGTTGTCAGGTATACGATATTTACGGTGTTCCAAAGGAACTGTACATTTTACGTGAAATTAATCACTCATAATTTGTGTTTGCGCAGTGCTTTTTGAGAAGTCATGGAGATGAGTCTGTTGTATTCTGAATTCCGAATGGGATTGTTTTGAATTGGTGGTGAGAATGAAAGTGATAGGAGTAAAGGGAAGAAAGGCGAATGGAGTCGAATTTCCATTTTAATTTCCATTTTCTGAACGGAAATTAAACTGAACATTATGAGAAAAATTGATATCTATATCTCATACGGATTACCCACGGCTACTATGAATTATATTTAACAGTATGTGCTATATTTTGATTTTTCATTCAGCAGTTTATGACAATTTGAATGAATACTATTTTGTGTATAAAAGCGAAATGCACGAGTGTAACATGGATTCAACGTTTATGGGATATGATTTTTCTCTACTCAAGGACACGCACACGAATATTATGATGAGAGAAATACAAGGAAGAATTTACGAGCCCTTTACAAGCATATTACATTTCACCCTCGCCTCCGGGGAGTGTAAGTGGATAGTCTGATTTAAAAAAGGCAATGATTTCACGTCCAGGGGCAGTGAGTTAACTTTGCCAACATTCGTCTGAGTGTTTTGAGATGCAATTTTCGCTTAATCCCCGCTTTTCTGTACTGTCTCTACTATTCTCTCCCTAATCCCGTCTTTTGGAAACTCGAAAAATACATTAACACAGGCGGAGGAGATGCTTGAACGAAAGGACACAATAAAAAGATAAAAATAAAATGGAGAAAAAAATATTTGCCTGGGTGAGTGGCAGTTTCCGGGAATTTCTTTAATTTCTTGTTTAATTCAATTGGCTTTTTTTTATAAATTGTTCGTATTCAAAATAGATTCGTTAGATGTTGACAGTGCTTCCCGTTGATTCAATGTCTCTTCAAAAAATTCAATACTCTTCAAAATTGTACGAGTATAATTATCTCTAGTTTCTAATTCAACAGCAATATTCAGTGCTAGTTAGCGAACCTCATTAGCATTGAGGGGAATTTTCTGTGGTGTATGTCATCGTCCTTTTCATCTAATGATTCTCTTGGAATTTAGGGGTGGAACAGAAAATGATAATGAAACATGCCATTGTTTCCGATGTAGGCGGTTCTTTTCCCTCTCATTGTCCCCCTTTTGTTTTTTCCACTGTCTGATCGATTTTCAATCAGTTCGATTGATTGGAGAAAAAGCGCAAAGGACAAAAGATTCAGCTTCACTTCAGCTATCCTATTATCTTCGAGCTTCACTAAAGCTCGAGACTCAAGGGGAGCACAAAATCACTGATCTGATGACTCAAGTTATTCTATATTTAGCCGCAGAAAACACGTGTTTGACACAACTCTCAGCTCTTGAGCGAAAATGTGCCAACTCGTGAATCTATCTTGGCGGGGGTGAGATCTTTTTTTTTTCACCTCTTCCATTGCATTTATCGCCTCTATTTCACATTCATGGTTGTAATATAAAATAGGGAGGTGCGAGTGGGAGGTGGAGGAGTGTGGTGAAGACGAGCGAACGTAAAAATAGCGCACACGGGAGCATTCTTGGCTATCTAAACGCAGAATCAAATTTATATTTATCCCCATCCAGGGTGGGTGGTTGCAACGACAAATGGCATGCGATATATCTCAGGTTAACTGCTGTCGAGTCAAGGTGAGAGAGTGAGAATAACCCTGTATCCAAGTACTGATCATTTTTTACTCCATCTCATTCAATATCTTTTTCAGCTCCTCTACCCTCTTTTTTTTACCCAAAAAATGTGAGGATTTGGGATGTTGAAGTGAGTGGAGTATTAGTGCAAGCATGTGTTTTTTTTTCTTCAGAGGCTTGGGGAGAGAGGGTGAAATAGGAGTGTAGATTTTGACTTTCTAATTTTGGAGACGCGTGTCTACTGAAGGGGAATGAGAAAATAAGGTGAGGGTGAGTGGTTCGTGTTGGAATGAAACGATTTATGGAAACATTGACTTAGCGGGTCGAGAGAAAAAAACCAGAGGGATTCCAGAGGAAGACGTAAATTTGAGTTTCGTGAAAATTGAGGGCAGTATTTAAGGAGCTTATTCTTTCATATAAATAAGTTGGAAATACTGTTGATCATTTTGCTAGATAGTAGGAAGATGAAATGAAGAAGAATGATGAAGAGTCATCGAGAATGGCAAGATCTTACCGAAAGGACTTTTTCAATTATTGAGAGCTTAGAAACTATACCTGCACTCTACACATCTTCAGCACACCAAAATTGATCCCTATAAATTCCAACGGCCAACTAATACCAGTGTATCAGGAAATAAATGGTGGGAGAATTTGAGTGTCCGACAAGCGTCTTACGAGTCTATATACTATGAGCGGACGTCGACGGCAATATTGCCAGGTAATCCGCCTATCCAATCCCCTGAGGAAATTATTCTGTGTTGACAAGAACTTCATCTCTCAGAATAATACTACCCGGAAAGCATTAATTATTAAACACCAAATATCCAATTGAAGATGTGTGGGTCTCGTGCATTTTATCTATTTGAATTTGGTCAGTGATTGGTAT